AAGGAACACACTTGTCGGATTATATCGAGTGTAGCGCGTTCCTTTTTCAAACGGTCACAAACTAAGATATACAGGAGTTAAAATGAGGTTAACTCTAGAAACACTAAAGTGACTTTATTAGATGTCATAGTATATATTGCACACATTTTTAGTGTTACTTATATAGCAGTTAGCCATTATTATTTATTAAGTTATTCCAATAATACACTATTAACAAATATTTATTTTACTTATACGTAAGTTTTTATAAAACGAAACCGGTAAATAAGCACGCAGCTAGTCTGATGGTGGTATACGGTGATTGTACCCTAAGGACGCCTGCAATATTATGAATATCACATTATGTGCTAACCCTGAAGAAACTTTAATACACTCATTTTAAAGAACCCAAAGAATTAGGAGATAATTTTAGAAAATCTTTATAGGCATTTTTTAATGCAACCTATACGTAATTTTGCCTTATTCGAAAATCCATTTATTTCAATGAGTATCTATTATTTAATTTACGTGTGAAATGTAAAATGTAGACGAAGGATTTCCGCGTTTAAAATATTAATTAGAAGAGACGAGTAACTCTGTCTCTGTGCATATGTTACATTTTCACGGTTAAACTACCGGACCCATTTGCATAGTTAATGGTCGTAATCTAATGGATTAATCCAATATGGCGGATCAAAATTTCGGAATTCGGAATGCAATTTTATTTTTGTTTCTGATTGAATTTGACCAATCTGCAACCACAGTCCCAATAATACTATCTACTACAAGAGTAATCCCGAATCAGCTACACTTATCACTTGGAACTCCTGACCTTCTTTGATATACTTGTTTACAACTACAAAAATCTGTAGTACTAAACACCTTTTCTGTTATCAGTCGGTTTTTAACAAGGCTACAAGGTACTTGGCAGCTAGGCCGTACTTGTGGCCATAAAGCCAACTATAAATTGAGAAGTAAATGAAGGGAAAATATAGTAATAATAATAATAACAAACCTAATATATGACAACGTATCGGGCACTCTCGAGGTGTTTTTGGTGGATGCCATCGTACCTCATAACTACTTGTACTTGTTTAAGCCGAAACTGAGAAGAAGAGAAAATATCATCCCAATCGTTCTGTCGGTGAACGATCTTATCCCAACCAGTCTGGAACAACACCTCAGACGGTTAGGATTTCGGAGTTGCTCACTCCCGGGAAAGATGCATAAAATGGTGCTCTAAGATACTGCCCGCTTAGAACGCCGGTTTCTCTCCCTGGGTTCTGAACTCAGGCCGACTGTGCTTCTGCCGGGGGTTAGTTTGTCACCTCCTCTTCTTAAGTGGGTAGATGAGAATTTTGTAAAATTAAAAACAATAATAATAAATTTTATTTATTAGGCCAGTTTCAAGATACGGTTGATCGTAGCGTCTGTGATAGGGGATCCGTGTTTTACAGATGTTATGTGCTTCCAAAACAATAAATTTAGTTTTTTTTTCCTATTTTAAAGCACATATATATTAAAGGTCTTAATTACAAAATATATAACAATAATAGATACTTAATAGTGTATAGTTACTGATATTACAATTCATAAAATATATTATTATATTGGGCTATAATTTTAGTAAATTTTTTAAAATATCACATTGCTATTTTTTTTGGAACTTTTTGATAATTCCTCGAAATCCGTGCTGGTTAGAAACGTCAAAAGAACATATACGCTCTACTTAGTTTAGGACTAGATGGCGCTGCGTATGTTAAAAGGTATTTATATAATAAAATGTACAGATTATACAAAACTCATCCGCATGCCGAGATCAGAACAGTACAAGCCCTGAGATATAGCTATCTGGATTCATAAATCAAGGAAGCGGACAACTTGAAATGGGGCAAGTAGCATCGCATGTAGTGTTGTACAATTAGTGAGGGGTATTTAAATAATAGCTTTTACCCTCGGTTTTGTTTGCAGGGTCGTTTCCAATTTAAATTGGACCATAACTAGCGCTTAAGTTATTCTCCGGCGTTTAAAAAGGTTTTTTTATGCAACTTAGAATGGCAAACAAGCTGACGGCTCACCTGATAGAAAATGGTAACCGTCGCCTATAGACATGAGTAGTACCATGGACATAACAGAGTATACTGTCTCGCCCATGATACCCCGCATGCGTTGCCATTCCTGAGGACTCAGGTGTTATTCCTCTGTATTTATTTATTTATATTATTTTATATTTATTTATTTAGTTACATTACAAATTGAAATCAAAACAAAATGTTTTATATATATACAACAGCGTACACAGGATTACAACTTTTTCAATAAACTTAAATGATAAATACAAAACAAACAGGTGGAATGAAAAAGAAAAAAGAAATAACATATTACATGCGTCAAACACCAACTTACGTGTAAAATACAATATCAATAAATTGCTTTATTCAACGTGAGGAAAAACTAAATAAATAAAATATACGTATAACTATATTTTATTCTCTCATTATCATTTTACATAACATTAATAGTTAGTATATATATATATATATATATATATATATATATATATATATATATATATATATATATATATATATATATATATATATTAAAGAAAAATTAAAAATATGTTTACTTTTTATTTTTTCTTTAATTTTCTGATTAATTTCACAACATCGAAACAACACTAGTCATATGAAAATATATTCAAATGATTAGAAATGTAAATTTATTTGACCGAGAGAATTATCAGGGACTCGCCACTGTTGCTGTTCGCATTCATCGGTTTGTTAAAGGATGGAAACTTTGAATGAGCAGGACAATGCGAGCGAGAAACCAATTTCGGCTTTCAGAACTGATTTTCAATTAAATGTAATTAATTTTGACATCAGCCTCGCTGTTCATGATATCAAATATGTTATTAAGTTAACCGTTTACAAGGATGAATCTCTCTTTAGTGTTCACAAAAAGAATATTTATTTATTTATACTTTTGCACACATTAGAATATATCTATAATACATAATGCCTGATGGCATTCTCTACCAGTCAACAGTTACGTTCAACAGAGAGAGAGAGAGAGAGAGCGAATGGCGGTACGTCGATTTAAAAAAAAATTGTAAATGAAATAAATATTTTGAAATATAACAATTTATGATAAATAAACATACACACGTATAGAATAATATACTTACAAAAAATATACACACATAAATCACATACAATACATATATAAATAACTATACATAGTATATATTAAATAAATATATAGATCATAACTAATTATATAACTGTTTGAGGCTTTTCATTGTTCTAATAAATTGAAACAATGTTCACGAAGGGACTTTTTGAAGGATTATGTAGTTAATGTACATATAAAAAAATAAATCTTATTGTTTGGTAAAGATTTCTTTAAATTTATTTAAATAAATAAACAATGACAAAATAAAGAATAATAGAAAGCATTAATTAAGAAGTGGAAAGATAAGCGAGCTGAGGTAGCAATGGGCTGGTCACATAGCTCGAAGAACCGACAAGCGATGGGAAGAAAGGTTTTTATGTGGCGACTCCGTACGGGCAAATCTAGTGTAGGACAATACCTCACTAAATATTGCAGGCTCAAATGCATTGCAGAGAGTCAGTGGATGCAGGTGGCTCAGGTCCGTTCCTTGAAGCAGTCTATGGAAGAGACCTATGTTCAGCAGTGGACATATAATGGCTGAGATGACGATGATGATGTGTAAAGAAACATAATGGATAAAGTCTTCTTTAACACCATTTACTTCAGCTTCATTTTAAATATTATAAATTTAAAAAATACATTTGTATTTGGGAAACGTCCTTCTATTTTCAAAGTGTATTTAATTAAATAATAACTATAACATATTGATTTATTACTTTTCAAATATTCTATTTACTCGTAATTATAAAATTAATCTTTCTTATAATTTAACTTTATTAAAATTAAATTTCAAGAGAAAACAATGAATAATCTTATAGCAAAAATTCTATTTTATAACAAATATAAAGAAAAAAAGGTTTAATAATTTCAACTCTGTGTTTTAAATTTTTTTCTTTTTATTATTTTGTTTCATTTTTATATTGTAGATTACTACGTTTTCTACTATAATTTTTTTTTGCACAAAGTTACTATTTGTTTGTGTACAGATTGTTAATCTTTATCATTATGTGGGCGACAAAGGAAACCAGGAATGGAAATTGGAAATATATGTATAATAGTCAAAGGAACTTAGAAGACTAGGGCCGAGAAGGAAAGCCAAAAGGAAAAATAGATATGCGTGTCAATTTCGAATTTGGTAAATAATAATATATAGCTATAAATAATATATGTGGCCTGTACTCCACACATTCTTTAAAGGAAACAATAAAGAGTTTTTCATTCATTCATTCATTCATTCAGATTGTTTTACTGATATAATTTAATTGCCCCATTATTACTCTACATAGAGCTTATAATTAGTTTATTTACAGTGGCAAAAAGCTAATGTTGTTGTTTACTTTGAAACTAACTAATGGCCTTTAAGTAGGGTTTGTACAATATTACAGTAACATTTTACTAAGTGAATTTATAGACACTTTAAAGCTGATTATAACATTAAGCTTTGTAAACAAGAGCATTTCGCGCCAGTTTAAAAAAAAAACTCGTCAATGAATTATATTGTAACTTGTATTTATAAATTAAAAAATAACTTAAAACCTTAAAAAAAATAAAAAAATTAAAAAGAGATTAAGAAATTGTAAAATATTGTAAAAAAGTCAATTTATATCTAATACATTTAAGCCGATAACATTAAACGTTAAAATAATAAAAAATAAAGTGTATATATTTCCAAACAGTACACATGGGTGCAAAATAATAAAACCTGATTTATAAAAGGGACAAAATTGAAAACAGAACTCCTGAGCCTTTCGCTGTTGTGTCCACTCTAAATGAATCCTAAATCTTGCCTTTCTCGTATACCTCCCCACGACGACAATCACTTCCGGTCGCTATAAAAATGTTTGTGCATTTGTGCAAAGGTACCATTGCATATCGGACAACACAGCGGGAGAGACTTACCCGCCATCCCACGCATAGACAACATGAGGACCTTTGTAAGTTTAATTTTATTTATATTTTTCAACTATAACCAGTTTTCATGAAAGGATTTGTAAGGGCTTCCTTTTTAGAAATTCGAAATTTGATTGAATTAAATTCTGAAATTTAAATTAAATTTATATTTATTAAAGTAATTTATATTATATTACTCATTTAGAATTATTTTTTCAACTAATATTGATTATTTACAAATTAAATTAATAGACAAATAATATACTCAAATTTATAAATTATATTTATATATACCTGAAAATAATCGAATTTCATGTTTAATTTATCCTAATTTAAACCTTAGAACGTTATAAAAAGCATATAATAGTAAATATGCAATCCTCATCATTGTAGGCTTGTTATTCTTGTTATATATTTATATATTTTGCCTTACATGTTCCTCTTATAGTTTATTTTCAGAAAATTAGAAAAAACATTACCCTCCTTTATCAATCGGATAAAACATTGAAGGGCATTGAACTTTAATCATAGTTTACGAGTTAATTTATTGTAATCAGTTTTCAATATGCCACTATTAAATTATAAGGTAAACTAATTAATCTATAAAAACCATAAATGACATCTCTAAAGGTATTCAATATGAAATAATATTAATAATAATTCAATTTCAGTAGTTGCTATTTTTATTGTTTTTTTTTTCTCATCTATATCTGTCGATCTGTCTATCTCTGTGTTACAGTATTTTAACTTTTATAGTTTAAGTCAAATTTCATGTAATTTTATAAGAAGACCGGTTAATCTTATTTTATTCCCGACTGCAACCTGCAAGGTCGTTTTATCTCATTGAAATAAAAACTGTCCTATATTTTAAGTTGTACAAATAATACACAAATAATAAAGATGGAATTAAAATCGATTGAGCGGTTTCGGAGATTGGCGTGAACGAATATTTTGACACGGGATTTTGAATATTAAGGTGATAGATACATAGTTTCTAGGATTCTAGAAGATCTAGATTCTAAAAATTTAAGTCTTAACCAATCAGTATGAAATTTGGTACTACTACTTTTTATCCCGGTCCATAAACATATCCAGGTTACCTGGACGAAGTCGCGTGTAAAAGCTAGTATTATTATAAAAATAAACAAAAATAATAGACTTCAAAATTATATACGGAATCATAATTTAGATTCATGTGTGCGCTCTTAGCTGTTTTTTTTATCGTGTTCCCAATTAGGGATGGCACGACAAAAAATAAGATATTGTTCTATTTTCCTTCAGCAAATTTTGTGGTAATATTTTGTTTAAATTAAACATTTAATGAAAGGAAAACTAATTTATAAGCGCGTGTATTTTGCTTTAACATTTTATTTACTTATTTTAACGAAAATTACCTGAACATGTGGTATTTTATTCAGTCTTTCAGCCAAAGTGGAACGAAAAATTTTCCAAGAACGTGTTTAGTATAGGTTTAAGTAGAGTTCTTGAATATAAATCACTAGTATTTACCTGCGACTTAGTCTGCGTGATCGGGATATGGCTTATATTTAGAATATACCTTTTTCATTAGAAACCCGTCGTAATATATACTTTCAAAAAATTTTAAGTGGACCTAAGTTACAAGTTAATATGTGAGCAGAAAACGTGAGCAAATCAAATTCAAAAAAGGAACTTTTACTTTTAGTCACTTGATTTCTAACCCAAAAAAAAAAATCTTTTTTAGTTATATTATTTATAATACAAATACTTATACTGTGGCATTATTACAGTGTAAAGAAAACCAGTAGTCCAACCTTATTGGGATGTTCCGAATGGTAACATGACAATTCAAAACGCAATATTTTGTACAAACGTGACCGTTGAACAACTGATAGGAAGATTTCTTTACACTATGGTATTACATATGCATGCATTGTATTCTTATTATACAATAGCCGAGTAACGATATATAAAATTATACTGTTGGTTATAAACCATAAATTCCTAGCTTACAGCATTGATTTTGCATACTAAAGATATAAAAACCTCATTATGGAATTTACATCTCTTATGCAATCTATCTTGCGTCTCCTGCCACATATTAAACCCTTTTATGAGGACATAAATAAGGAGATGCCACACAAAAACCTACTTTAATCCATAAAACATAGATACGTTAATCACTTTTTAGATTCAATGTTAATTAGTATGATATTACTTCGTAAAATATGATAATTACCTTTGCCATTGTCTCGTTCTAGTAAATGTATGGTATATCATGTGATATATTTTGGTGTGTTGTTACGTATCTACTCGTATTTTGCATATTTTGCATATAATCACAGAATGTAATAGTGTTATTCCGTCTAGTGTAGTCATTCCCTGCCCACCTCTCTAGTTGACCCCTCCTACCCTTTGGGACGCAAATATGACCATTAGAACAAGGTTGTATAGATACGGATTGTATACATATTATATTGCCAAGTATATAACTTTTGCCCCAAAAGAAAGAAGAAAGATTTTGCCCCAAAAACATATTTCAGTACACCTGTGTTTAATATAGTTTACGCACATGTTCGTTTTATTTTTATAAAAAAAAAAAAAAAACTTCAGCAGGATCCCTATCAATTAAAATAAAAATAAATTAAAAATCAAAGACATATAAAAATTGATAATAAAATAGAAATATTATTAAAATATAAAAATCACATTTCCATAATTAATAAGTGATTATGAAATAAAGTTAAAGATAGTTTGTGACATAATGTATGTATTTATGTGATGCGCTATATATATAATTGCGCGTACGTGTACATAACGAAAGTAGATTGAATTGCAAACATCTTCATTTTGGAAGTAATATGCAAATAACTTTTTTTTTTAATTTAACTTCCACGCTTCACGACTGAGATATATAAAGCCTACAACCGCAGCGACAAACTCATCAAAGCACAGAGTTCCGCAAACATTAAACCAATGGAAAACGCAGCTAATGATAGCCCTGTGTAATGTTCGCATAAATTACGCAATTTTATACAGGCTGATGTTGAAACTGTTAGCTAGTATCCTTTTATAAAGGCTGATGTTCAAACTGTAAAGGGATTGTTCTACCAGCAATACCATTTCCGATCGACTTCGATAAGAAAAAGTTTCTAAAATCGGTTGTATTTTTTTTTTTTATGTTTATTACCTTATAACTCCGTCAATTGCAAACCGAACGGGACATCACTAGAAATCGCGATCCTCGAGTTGAGAATCAATGGTCTACCCTTGATATTAAGGATAGGTAATATATAATATATATAGTTCAAATAACGTATATATTCAATAATTACCCACTATACAATATTGAAATAAAGAATGTTTCAATCGATCCCAATGTATACAGACATCTGCCCGAAATAGGCTATATCGAAGTAGTTGATAACCTCTTTTACCGCTATCAATACTAGAGGAACCCAATATATAGATATCAGAGCAGTACTTATACCTCTTGATATACATGATACAGAGGATATCCGTGTTACTGATAATCGTCTGCATTTACTATATACTGTATTATAATAAAATATTATTCTCCCATTACTTTTAAGTATTAAATTAAATATAATTTTCATTATTCCTATCTATCCTAAGGTAAGAAGAGACCGATATTTGAAGATAAAGCCGCCCATTGTTACCTCTTTATCTTGTTTTTATGTAATGAAGTTTATGTAATTTAATTCATTTTGTTTGTGTACATATTAATCTTCATAATCTGTATCATTCTTTGAAGGCAACAATAAAGAGTTTTCATTAATTCATTCATAATTGATTTCTTTAAATTCATAATTAAATTTCTCTTATCTCGATTTGTACCTTAAGACGTTTTAAAAGCTTTAATTGAAATGTACAATCAGTATACAATTATATTATTTCTATACTAAGAATTTAAATTTCTCGAACATTTCTTTATAATTCACGAACATCCATAAAAACAAATGAATTGCTTTAATTAATTACGCGTCAATATTGATACGATTTACTGTTAACGAATTATTGAAATTTGTTTTTAAATGTCATAAAATTGTCTAAGTATTTTAAATATATTTATTTATTTATTAGGTGGACATTTTTACATTTTAAAAAGTGGCCATTAAGACTGCACACGCGATGGAAGCTTAAAAATGGAGTAACTTCTCCCGTTTTCCCAACATTTCTCTTCACTGATCTGCTCTTATTGATCGTAGCGTGATAAAAAATATACTATAACCTGCCCAGGAGTATGAAGAATAATTGTGCCAAGTTTCGTTAAAATCTGTCGAGTAGTTTTTGTTTCTATAACGAACATACAGACGGACAGACAGACACAAACATTTTACAGATTGCATTTTTAGCATTAGTATCGATCACTAATCAGCCCCTAATAGTTATTTTGGAAAGATATTTCATGTACAGAATTGACCTTTCTACAGATTTATTATAAGTATAGAAGATCAGAGGGAGACTTTGTACAAAAGTCGATTGCTTGGGTACCTCTGTTTTATTCGTGTTTCAACCGTGAAACAGTTGTGTTTGCATGGCTGTGTTTCGGTTTGAAGGGTGGGATATGGCGTGAATTTACTGGGTACAGAGGAAAAACACCTGAGTCCTCAGGGATGGCAACGCATGGGGGGTTTCATGGGTGAAACAGTATACTCTGTTATGTCCATGGTACTGCTCATATCTATAGACGACGGTTATCACTTTTCATCAGGTGAGCCGTCAGCTTGTTTGCCATTCTAAGTTGTAAAAAAAAAAAATGCAACCCTATTAAAATAAAAAGTATTTGGTGGGCGTTCCGTTATTTTAAAAGTTTGGGAACCCCTGCTCTGTCTGTTTGCCATTTTAAATTGTATATAAAAAAAATTAAATTGACAAACTCTTTGATGAGGGAGAGTACCTTGAATACATACATACATGTCAGTCACGCCTGTCTTCCATTAGAGTTGGCAGTAACAATGGAACGCCAAATTGAAATATTTGACGCTTTCCATAAATCAAGTTGTTCAGAAAACAACGATGGGGTCATCCCTATCACGTTGTA